AAGATATTGTGTGTCTATGGACTCAAAATGTGCTATAGTGAAGACTTTAATTCTCCCAAAACTATTTAAAGGATCAATGTATTTTCAACAAAACTATCAGGAGATAGTTTTAAAAATAAAATTAGCAATATGATTCTAAGTAATGTGGAAATGTAAAAGATCAAGAATAGTCAAGGAAATCTTGTTAAAAACAAAGCTGGATGGGGCCTGGAAAGATGGCTCAGTGGTTAAAAACACTGGTTGTTCTTACAGAAGACCCGGGTTCAAATCCCAGCACCCACATGGCAGCTAACAACTGTCTGTAACTCCAGTCCCAGCTGATCCGACAGCCTCTTCTGACCTCCACGTGCATTGCACGACATGGGTACACTTACCTACATACAGGCAATACACGCATACACATAAAATAAAAATAATAAGTAAAATATTTAAAAAAAAAACAAAGTTAGGAACTTACACCATGAAATGCCAAGATCTGATGTAGAACTGTAGTTAGTAGGACCCCATGGAGTCAATGAAATGACTGACACTTAGAGACAGAGTAACAGGAGCCCAACACAACACATCTGGTCATACCATTCCTGACCATCACTACCATGAGTGACAAAATGATGCTCTTTTTAGCTAACACTGTTGAGCCAGTCTGATATTCACATGGAAAGAAAGTCCTCAAGAATGTAGAAAAGTATTCAACCAAGTATTAGCAAATAGAATGTAGTGTTTTCTGTAAAAGGAATTTATAGCTGGATGAAGTTGAACCTGTAGTCCTAGCAATACCTCAGCATTTATCCCAGTAAAATTAAAATGTATAATATGCACATAAAAAAAACTTGAACATTCATGTGTATAGAGTATTCATTCAGAAAAAAATAAAAAATTAAAAGTAGAACAAAGTCCTTCAATGAGGGAATGGTTAAAAAATTGGTGCTATATATCAGGAGAAACAATTCTGTAATAAACATTAACTAACAAACCTTGCATGATGGCTCATATTTGCAATCCCAGCATTTGGAAGCCTGAGGCAGGAGGATTGCTTTGAGTTCCAGGCCTGCCTGGGCTACACTGGGAAACCCTGACTTAAAAGCCAAAAATCATAAAAAAGAAAGAATAGACTATTTGATTAAATTCCCAAGAATCTGCTTTATTTTAGTCACTCCCAACAGGTTTTATGTGGTATGGCTCCACCTATGTGACATTCTTTAAATAACTAAATTTTAGACACTGAGAATTGATTAGCTATTCCAGGGCTATTCAATGGAGTATGAGAAGGGGCAGGGAGCAGCTGTGATTGTAAAGTAACAACAGGTCTCTGCGGTGAAGAAATTATGCTGTTTTCAGTGGAGCACAAGACATGGGGGCATGCAGCAAAATGATAAAAGAGTAAATACAAACAGCGAGAATGGTCTCAAGGAAAGCTGGATAGGCTCTGGGTTGATGAACTACAGCAGCTCAATACCCCAACTGTGGTCCTCTGCTGTAATTCCTTACCACTGGGAGGAACTGAGTCTTGGAACACGGCATCTTCTGTAAATTAAAAAATTACAATTGCATATAAATTGTAACTCATGATGTTTGAAAACAATTAAAATGTTTAAAAACAAATTGCAGCTGGATTTAGTGACACATTCCATTAATGCCAGCCCACAGGGGGCAGAGGCAGATGGATATCTGTGAATTTCAGGCCATCCTGGTCTATATAGTGAATTCTGGGCCAGCCAGAGCTACTTGGTGAGAACTTGTGTCAAAAAAAGTCTGTACTTGAGGGTGTTTAAATAGAATTTGTCATGATGGAATCCTCTACTATTAATATAGAGAGTAGACTTTCAACTTTATCAAAATTGGATGTTTTGAATCACATGAATTTTTATGGTTTACCTGCAGGCATACTTCAACATGTTGAAAATTATGTGTTATGTCATTATGTTCATTTGACCATTTTAATAACAAGTGCTTGGAAAGAATACAAATGCCCAAAGTCATGACTAAATTAATACATTTATAGAAGGAAATAATATGCAAAATTTAAATACATTTGTGTACATAAATATACCTACAAATAAAACTTGACTGCCAGGCAAATACAGAAAATGTTGATCCACAGATTCATTCAGTGATATACACTCCAAACTCCAAGATGGTTTGCTAAATGACAAAACATGCAGTGGAATGTCATTGTTGTGCTGAGATTTCTCTTTAAAACATTCTGGGGTATATAGTAGCCCTTCAGAATGTACCAGAAGAGACAAGTTACAGCCATGGTCTCTGGGAAAAGGAGCTTGCAGGGAAGTGGGCAAAAGTACAGGGAGTGCAATCCCTTTAGAAACTTAAAACCATTTAATGTATATGAGTGTTTGTCTACATGTATGTAAGTGCAACACGTGAGTGCAATGCCCATGGAGGCCAGAAGAGGGAGTTGGATCCCTTGTAACTGGAGTTATGGATGGTTGTTAGCGGCCATGTGGGTGCTGGGCATTGAACCTGGCTCCTCTATAAAAGCTGTCAATGCTCTTAAGCTCTGAACTATCTCTCCAGTCCCCTTTAGTACATTTAACATGTGAGTATCAAGCTCAGTGTGATGATCTACAGGACCCTGCACCAACTGTCCCCTGCACATCTGCCTCTCCTTTTCAACTGTTTCATCTTGTTTTGCAGTCACACTGTCCTCCACATGCCTCCCAGAACTCACCGATCACACTCCCACCTCACGGTGTGATCACCATTTTTCCATTGGGCTGAACAGTCTTTTATTTAAAAAAAAAAATCTTATTTGTTTGTATTTTCATGCGTATGAGTGCCTTTCCTGCTTATATGTAAGTGCACCCATGTCCTGCAATGCCCACAGAGGCCATCAGAAGGTGTCTGATCCCTGGAACTGGAGTTATGGACGATTGTTAGCAACCACGTGAGTACTAGGAATCAAACCTGGGTGCTTTGAAAGAGCAACCAGTGCTCTTAACTACTGAGCCATCTCTCCAGCCCCTCGGGTTGAACGTTCTTATACTTGGTAAATCCATATGAATACTACTCTTGTCTCTTTTGGGCCTTTGTCCTAACTTGCTCCTTTTTCTCATTATTCTATGTGAAATCACACACACATGTATTTCCCTTTCCCCACCCTGTTCTTATGAATAGAAAATTTCTTGATTTGGTGCACTGTGTTTTATTATACATCATCAACTTAAATGCAAGTTCTAGGAAGAAACAAAATTATCACATAGTTTATTCAATGTTGCAAATCTAGCACCTAAAACTATATCCATTACTTTTAAACATATATGTACATATACATCTGTGTATATGTAATAAGTTCACTAATGGCTTATTATTACCTATTCAGTGTTTCTCAACTCTAAAACCAACCATCATGAGGTCAGATATGCCTTTTGTAAGAATTCATACCTATATTATATCCCCAACACCCCCTAAATATGATGCTAAACTTCCCAACTTTCATCAGAGCACTGGTAAACAGAACAGGAGCAATCTACAGAGATAGAGAAAGCCAGAAGGCCAAAGCAAGGGAGGGGCAGTTGTTTCTGCCTTTCACTGTTTGGCATGATGTGCTCTTGGTGACAGGAGTGATTGATAATG